AAACTTGGCCAGTCTGCTTCTGACTCCAATGTCCACATCATTAATGAAAATGTTGAACAATATGAGTCCAAGGACAGAGCCTTGGGGGACCAGCCCCACTGGTCACAGGGCACCATGATGATTGACTTCCATCAATTACTACCCTCTGGGTCTGACCATGGAGCCAATTTCCCAGATAGTGGATTGTGGTTGACCCAGGGCCATAATTGGCCAGTTTTGCCAAGAGGTGATCATGGGATCCCAGATCAAAGGCTTTTTTGAAGTCAAGATATATGACATCAATCTCTTCTCCCTTGTCTAGGTGATAGGTCACCTAGTCGTAGAAGGAAATGAGATTGGTCAAGCAAGACCTGCCCACAACAAACGCATGCTGGCTATCCCTTAGGATGTTGGCGTCAGTCAGACCATTAAGGATGGCCTCTTTAATAAACTTTTCTAAGATCTTCCCCGGGATAGAAGTCAGTCTGATGGGCCTATAGTTAGCTGGATCCACTTTCCTCCCTTTCTTGAAGATAGGCACCACATTGGCCTTCTTCCAGTCTTTGGGCACTACACCAGAGCACCAGGAGTTTTCAAAGATCTGTGCCAGAGGCTGGGCTATGATGTTCACCAGCTCCTTGAGTCCCCTGGGGTGTAGATTGTCAGGACCAGCTGACTTGAAGGTATCCAGCCTCTCAAGATGTTCCTTCACGAGGTCGGCAGTGATGGAGGGTGGGGGATTTCCCTCACCCAGACCTCCCTGTCCCGTAGCGAGCATGGGGCTTTTTCCAAAGCCAATAGGTTGGCTTTTTCCTGGGCGTCAGTTGTCAGTTGTCCCATCTGGTTCAGCAGGGGTCCAATGTTGCCCTTGCTTTTCCTGCAGCTCCCCACATATCTGAAAAAAGACTTTTTATTGTCCTTGGTGCTCAAAGCTAGGTGGAGTTCAGTTGCAGCCTTGGTTTTCCTGGCTTGCTCGCTGGAGGACCGGACCAGTGCAGAATATTCCTCCTTGGAGGTGAAACCCATCCTCCATCCTTTGTAGGCCTTTCTTTTTGGCCTCAGGAGGTCTGCTAGATCCCTGGAGAGCCAGGGGGGTTGCTGTGCCCTCTTGCTGCCTTTCTTCCGAGATGGAATAGAATTAGCTTGTGCATTGAGGATTGCTCCCTTGAAGAGCAGCCACCTATCCTGAACTCCCCTCCCCCTGGGGTCATGGTCCATTAGGGCCTGACTGACAAGCCTCCTGAGCTTGTCAAAGTCAGCTTTCTTGAAGTCAAGGACTTCTGTGTTGCTGACTGACTTGCCAGCTTTATGGTGGATGGTGAAGGTGATCAGCTTGTGGTTACTGTCATCCAGCTTCCCATCAATCACTAGGTCGCCAATTACGTCATCCCCAGTAGCCTCCGAATCCATTCAGAAAAGATTTAGGGAAGATTTGGAGATTCGGAAATTCAGGCAGTCCCCACTCACCGCCGCAGGGAGCTGGACCTAGGCTCTGTGCTGATATGTAGGGGGCAGGGGGGCTGGAGGAGGGGGAAGGGGACACCATGGGAGGATCCATGCCAGGCCCCAGCCCCTGCCTGCTCCCCCAGCCCCCCTGAACACCCCACAACCCCTGCCAACTCTCCCAGCCCCTTCAATAGCTGCCCCACCCAGCCCCAGTGTCCTGGCACTTTGAAAAGAAAAAAATAAGCCCTGCACTCCATCAGAGCCTCTGGGGGCTCATGACAGAGTACCCCCACATAGTGTGGGGCAGTGGGGGGGCAGCAGGGATTGCTTCCCCACCTGGTAGGAGCCAGTGAGTGCAGGGCTTCTTTTTTTTTAAACAGCTGGGATGCTGGGGCTGAGTGAGTGGGGGGTGGGGCCTGTTTGATTTGGAGGTTTGGCCAATTCGGTGGCAGCCAAATCTCCAAATCAGATTCACCCGAATCAATTTGGGACAGTGATTTGAATCACCAAATCGAATCACCGTTCTCCAAATCGACTGAATCTGAAGAGAATACTAGGGTCACACAGACCTAGTGAGGGGGCTCGGGTACATGACTTCTGAGGAGAAGCTGAGGGAACTGGGCTTATTTAGTCTAGAGAAGAAGAAACTAAGAAGGGATTTAAGAGCAGCCTTCAACTACCTGAAGCAAGGTTCAAAAGAGGATGGAGCTAGACTGTTCTCAGTGATAGCAGATGACAGAACAAGGAGCAACGGTTGCAAGTTGCAGCAAAGGAAACTTAGGTTAGATATTAGGAACATTTTTCTCACTAGGAAGGTAGTAAAACACTGGGACAGGTTACCCAGACAGGCAGTGGAATCTCCTTCCTTGAAGGTTTTTAAGCCTTGACTAGACAAAACTTTGGCTGCGATGATCTAGTTGGGGATGGTCCTGCTTTGAACAGGGGGTTGCACTAGATGATCTCCTGAGGTCACTTCCAACACTAATTTTCTATGGTTCTATGAAACAAACAAATAAAACCTTTGAAAGACAAATTTTCTCTATTTTTAAGAAATATAATTTCAATTTGACAAAAGCATTTGTTTTGTTTTGAAACTGTAGATAAAAAGGAAATAGCCAAAGGAGAGAAACATGAATGATAAAAGATTTTAAAAGTATGACTTATGAGGAAAGACTAAAGGAATTGGTTTTGCTTAGTCAAGAAGAGAAGAATAGCAGCAAGATAGTAACAGTCTACCAATATGTGAATGGATGCTATCAAAAAGACAGTGATCAATTATTCTCTGGGGAATGGACAAGATGTCAGCTTAATTTGCAGCAAAGATTTATTTTTTATTCCAGATAAAACCTTTGAAATATAAGGACTGAAATAGGCTACCTGCAGAATCTCCTTCAATAAAGGTTTTTACAGAAACGTCTATCAGGGATGGGTTAGGCAAACTGCAAAGGATTGAGATCTTCAAGCCCTATGCTTCTATGGTTCTCTGAATTTTGTTTGCTAGGTTAGATTTGGGACCTTCCTCCACATACACTTTCTACTATAAAAAGGGGAAAACTTGGAAAGAAAAAACCCTGAATTTTAGTTTTGAATCAAATAGAAAATATTCGTTTTGCTTCTATGAAAAGTTAAAAATAATTCAGAGTCAAGTTTTCATGGAAAAAAAGGAAATTTACATTTGTCTTGAAAATGCCCATGGAAAATATATCATATTTTTCTAATAGTCCTAGGTCTTCTGGCATTTGTTACTAATGCAAAAGCATGTCTTTTGACCTGAGCAGGTGACTCATATTTTAATGTAGGATGCAAAAGTCAGTCCTACCAGAAAGGGACCTTCTTTTGTTGCTAGGCCTACCCAGAATGAAAGGCCAGCCTGGCATCACACAGTTTGATTAGTCAGAATGATACAATGTTTTAGTAAGATTTATGCTGCAAAATGACGGTCTCCAGAAACTTGGATGTGAGTGGTTATATCTCTTCCAAGCTGGCCTCATCTCAACCAATTCAGCAGAGATGGCAAAACCTAACCACATGAGAAAAAAGGCAATTAGCTGGCCACCTAAAAAGAATGGAGAGCTGCCTCTCTTACAGGTGGAGGCATATGCCACTGATGTTTGGGGAAGATGCCTTCAGCAGCAGGGGGCGGAGGTGAGAAAAATCAATTAAAATTAGATCAATTCATGATTTCTCCTTTTCTCTGCATAATAACTCTGTGTGCCTGCCTGGCAATTGTAAACAGCTAGCTGAGATTTTTTTTCAGATGCTGTTCAAGCTTCAACTTGGCATTTCTTGAATGTATTCTTCCTCCCAAGAACTGTTGACAGGTCTAGCCCTGTTACCATCTGGCTTATGAAGTAATGAGACCAAATGAAATGGAGCTTGAAAAAATTAACATTCTTTCTTTAATCTATTAATAACTAAAAAGTGTTGATTTTGGTGACAGCTAGATACTTTATTGTGAAGCATATTGGATAATTAGAGGCATCCTAATGAAGGTTATACAGGAATGTGTATCCCTTCAGAAATACACATATTTAATAAGCAGGGGCTCGTTCTTTTCACAAACTTAAAAACAATCACTGGAAATGTTACATGTGAAAAAACTCAACAAAGTAAAAAAAAAAAAAGAAAAGAAAAGAAAAAAACAGACAATTTTCCGTCTCTGTGCAAGT